TGTCCCTGGGGAAAAAGCTGAAGCACTATTTTTCATAGGTGCTCCATGATCAGACTAGAAAGGGTGCTCTCTCACTGCAAAATATGAAGATGAGGCACTTCTGCTTATTCCACAAGTAATCTCTATTGACTTGATAGCAGGACTGGGGAGCCCGTGGGAACAAAGCCAGTCCATTCATGAAAAAGAGAATTTTCTAGTTATTTTCAAAGTTATTTTTCCTAGTTATTTTTAAGAGTATTTAAAGGGATATTTAAAGGCATTTTGGCAGGATGACTGGGTGTGGACTGGGGGGTGAGTTTTATGTCATTCTCCTATCACCCATAAGGATTTTTTTTCTTTAAAAACACCCTGAAACAAGAAAAATGGAAACAAATTACTGTTTAAACATCAGAATCAGAACATCAGTCAAAAACTCTTGAACAATTACTTCTTAAATATTTATTTCATGTTATGAGAACAAATTCCTTTTGAAAATTAATTTTCTGAGCCCTGGTCCCACTCATCATGGCCAGTTATTGAAAATCATGAGAGATGTGGCCGAACAACATTTGGAAGCTACAGTTTTATTTTCAATATAATAAAAGCTTTCCCAAAGCCTGAGGTTAATGGCTACAATAACATATTTTATTATTAAATGGAAAAAAATAACGCTGAGACAGTATTAGGGAAAACATCTACATTTTACTGCAACCTTTGCAGTTTGCTTTCAATAGCTTCCAGACCTTTGCTTGCTAAAAGTGATTATTGGGGGTTTGTTTTTCTTTTTATGTTGCATTGGTCTTTGCAGCACCATATTCACAATCCATATCACTTCACTAGTTGCAAATGTCCATGTTTGGAAAATGGTTGTTGTTTAGTCATGAAGTCGTGTCTGACTCTTCGTGACCCCATGGACCAGAGCACTCCAGGCCCTCCTGTCTTCCACTGCCTCGCAGAGTTTCATCAAATTCATGTTGGCAGCTTCAATGACACTGTCCAGCCATCTCATCCTGTCATCCTCTTCTCTTGCCCTCACACTTTCCCAATACCAGAAGCTTTTCCAGAGAAGTCTTCTCTTCTCATGAGATTGCCAATGTATTGGAGCCTCAGCTTCAGGATCTGTCCTTCCAGTCAGCACTCAGGGTTGATTTCCTTCAGAATTTATAGTTTTTTTCTCCTTGCAGTCCAGTGGACTCTCAAGAGTCTCCTCCAGCACCACAATTCAACAGCATCAATGCTTCGGCGGTCAGCCTTCTTTATGGTCCAGCTCTCACTTCCATACGTCACAACAGGAAAAAGCATAGCTTTGACTACTCAGACTTTTGTTGGTAAGGTGATGTCTTTGCTTTTTAAGATGCTGTCAAGGTTTGTCATCGCTTTCCTCCCAAGAAGCAGGAGCCTTTTAATTTCGTGGCTGCTGTCACCATCTGCAGTGATCATACAGCCCAAGAAAGTAAAATCTGTCACTGCCTCCATATCTTCCCCTTCTGTTTGCCAGGAGGTGATATGACCAGTGGCCATGATCTTAGGGTTTTTTTGATGTTGAGCTTCAGACCATTTTTTGCGCTCTCCTCTTTCACCCTCATTACGAGGTTCTTTAATTCCTCCTCACTTTCTGCCATCAGAGTGGTATCATCTGCATATTGGAGGCTGTTGATATTTCTTCAGGCAATCTTAATTCTGGTTTGAGATTCCTCCAGTCCAGCTTTTCACATGATGTATTCTGCATATGTTAAATAAGCAGGGGGACAATATCCTTTCCCAATTTTGAACCAATCAGTTGTTCCATATCCAGTTCT